TCCGAACCAGCATGAACATCAATGCGCCAGAAACCACAGCTTTACCCCCTCCGAGGATCCGAGTAATGAAACACAAAAAGACTCCCATTCAAATGTCAAGCCTCCACGGACCCCAGTGCAGAGAATATTTTGTGGACACAGCAGCTCAAGTCAACGCCATAACACAATGCAAATAATCCCATCTATATCACTCGCATCGAGTAATTTATGCACCGCGGTAAAAGAAAAAGGAAAGTACACACAAGGAAAAGAAAGGCCCGTGAGCACGATTGCCGCGTGCACTCGCCTCTTTCATGCGGTGTGGATGCGCAGACCCGGAATAACCGTTCAGAGTCGATGGAAAGTAATGACACAGCTCGGAGAAGAAAGCGTTGATTTCCATAAAAACAGAAATAACGCATGCACGTGCGAGTAAGAATTCGAGCAAAAAGACGAAAGACACAGAACAGGCCCGCCTTTAGATACCGAAACCGTAGAGATCTATGTTGCAAGACACAGTCGATGCAGCTGCAATAGCACCGAGCATATGAAAACCATAAAAGTACTTTTCTGAAGACGAAAAGCCGGCACTCCCGCTCGGCGCGCATCGTTCAAGCGTACCTCCACATGGACGCTTGAAAAACAGGTAAGGGTATCTGAAAAAGACGGTCGTAGCAGGAAATTCAACGCGATCTATGATAATCATGCAATGCCGATCAAGGCGCTTCTATCCATACCGACCGTATGGTTCGGAGCAGCGAGACGGAGATATCGGACCGCATCGAACGTCCCATGTCTAAGACGGAAAAGGCGAACGAAAAAATAGCAATCGCGAAATGCTCAGCAGATAAAGAACACCCACAAACCCAAATCGAGGAATCAGATAACATAGGAAATTGTAAAAGAGGAAGTCGTGGCGGTCGTGACAAAGCCGGTCCTGATAGAAAGGTGAGAAAAGGTAGAAGGACGAAGAGAGGTGCTTCAGGACTCGTTTTCCGATCGTAACCATCAGATGAAAGGCATGAGAGAAGACGAGCCATTCAGACCCGACGGCCTCGCCAAGGACCACAACCTCCTAGGTGATTTACCACCAGGAAGAGGGTCCAGTGGGGCCCGAGGGGTTTCCGTAGCTGCCGCCGCCATAACCACCGCCGTAGCCACCACCGTAGGCTGGGGGGGCACCGTAGCCGCCAGCGCCGCCGCCATAGCTGCTGCCACTGGGAGCACCGTAGCTGCCGCCAAAGGAGGGAGCACCACCGCCAACGTTACCACCCATACGACGCATATCGCGAGTGGCATTGCCACCACGACCACGACCTCCACGGCCTCCGCGTCCACCATATCCGCTGCCTTCGCGAGCAATGCTCTCCAGGAAGGAAGGAACTTCTTGATGAGCCTCCTTGAGAAGGTCAATCAGCTCACGGACAACACCACGGTTGCCACGGTTGAAGAAGGCAGTGGCGATACCAGTGTTACCCGCACGACCGGTACGACCAATGCGGTGAACGTAGTCATCAATGTCGGTGGGCAGATCATAGTTAATGACGTGGGTGACGTTTGGAATATCAAGACCACGAGCAGCGACAGCAGTAGCAACTAGAATAGGGCAACGTCCGGAGCGGAACATCTCCAGAGCACGTTCACGCTCACGCTGGGTGCGATCACCGTGAATAGCAGTTGCAGGGAAGCGCTGGTTCAGCAGGAAGTCGGAGAGAGCATCCGCCATACGCTTGGTCTCCACGAAGATGAGAGTGAGACCGCTCGTGCCATGAGTGTGAAGGATATCAAGAAGGACGGAACGCTTGTCGTGATCCTCGACATACTCGACCTTCTGAGTGATGTTCTCAGAGGTAGAGCCGACACGACCGACGGAAAGGAAAACGTAATCCTTCAGGAAGTCCCGGGCAAGCATCTGAATATCACGAGGGAAAGTGGCCGAGAACATCAGAGTTTGGCGCTCATTGACGTTAGGCATGTCTTCACCTTCTACGATGCGGCGAATCTGAGGCTCGAAACCCATGTCCAACATACGATCAGCCTCGTCGAGAACCAGGTACTTGATGTTAACCAGAGAGATGCGGCCACGCTCGATCAGGTCAACCAGACGACCGGGGGTAGCGACCAGGAGATCACAGCCACGCTCGATCTGACGGAGCTGAGAGCCAATATCGGCACCACCGTAGACGACACAGGGGCGAACCCAAGATCGGTAAGCGAACTTGCGGGCTTCGTCAAAGATCTGAGAAACAAGCTCACGAGTGGGGGCGAGGATCAGGGAAGTAGGGTAAGCCTTGCGTTGACGACCATAGCCGAACTGGCCCGAGGCCTGAGCAGGTACAGCGGAGGGACCTGTCTGGAAGGCCTGAGAGAGAATGGGGAACAGGAAACCACCAGTCTTTCCGGAACCAGTCTGAGCACACGCCATGAGATCGCGACCGTTCATCACGATGGGAATGGAGTACTTCTGGACGGGAGTAGGGGTTTGATAGCGAGCGAGCTTGATGTTAGAAATCAAGTGGTCATCCAGCGGGGGGTTCGTGAAGGCATTGACAGGCTCGGGAACGTCGTGACCGGATGCTTCGACGGGGATATCGTCGTAGTTGGCGAAGTTGATACCAGTGCTCTGCTTGGTGGGATCGTTGGGAACACCGAAAAGCTCACGCTCCAGGCGGGCGTTTGCGGGACCGGGGATGTGCTTGCCGTCGCGCCACTGGCCGTCTCCAGAGCCTTTGGCAGAGCCGCCTTGGGAGCCGCCGTAGGAGCCTCCGTGTCCTGGGTGTCCGTAAGCATGTGGATCAAAGGGCCGACGTTGAGCTTCCGTGGGAGTCCAGCTGTTGTTACCATTGGGGACGTTGGGAGCACGAGGGCTGAAATCAGAGGCATTGGCATTAGCCCAGTTGCCACCGCGAGGAGCGTTTCTGCAAGAAGTACGCCACGGTCAGCCAAAATGAACACAGACAAGAAACTTAGATTTGAGAAGGATCGCAAAATACATACCTTGGGCCGTTCCAAGCACCAGCACCAGCAGCAGGACCGGGGGGAGGAGGAGCAGCGGCACCGTCGACGTTGGCGCCCATGGTGCGCTGACGGAGATGGGGAGGGATGTAGGCAGCGCGGCCGTTTGAAGGGGGAGCAGCAGGCGCATGCTGGGATTCGTTAAGGGACAGATTTCCCATCTTCAAGCTGTCGGCCATGATTGCGGTGATTTTTGAACTGTATCAAATCAATGAGCAAGCCGGTTCAACAGTTCAGTGTCTGAAATCGTCGAAATAATCGGATCTGCTGACTCTGAGGACGCGGTTGTAAACGTACAATCGAAGAGTTGCTTAGTGTTCTTTTTGCTCGAGAACGTGACACAGACAATCTATTTCAGAGACTATCTGTTGTAAGGAAGGCTTGAGATTCTTTTCGAAATCAAGAATCTGTACAAGATGAGAGAAGAGAGAAACTTCAAACAAAAACGTGTCTCTCTATCGTCGAGTGGCGACGTAGCAAAGGTCTCAAGCAGAGAAGTAACACAAGTTGGAAACTGAGAAGACCTGAAGGGAGAAAAAAAAAAAAAACTGAAAACAGTGTTCTCCCAGATCTAACCCTCTATCAAATCTTGCAAAAGAAGAAAAGAAAAAGGGAGGAAGAGAAAGACAGTATTAAGTGGAGAGAGGTTTGGGGGAAGAAAGAAGGAGGAAGATGGAAATTTAGATTAAGTAGTAGCCGATAGATGGGAGGGGAGAAGAGTGGAAGAGGTTTTGTGGGAAGGGCGAGAAGATCCAGCGAAGAACTTTTAAGGAAATGAAAATACTGACACCGGGGAGGCGAAAAAAAGAAAAAAAAAAAAAAAAAAAAAGTTCAAAAAACGTCAAGTTAAAAAAAAGGGCGAAAAAGGAGAGGACAGGGTCTGACTGGATATCCAGATAACCATACAGGCTGGGCCCAGTCTTTCCCTCTCTGGTGAATTTTCAACCTTTTTCGTGTTTCGGGCCCTACAACCACTGTACTATCTTATTACTGTTGAATTAAATAGAATCATGATTGGTCATTATTATGCATCATGAGATGTCTTTGGTTCAAATAGATATCAACTACATACATAGGTAGATCCTTCATGCGCTTCAATATCATTGATGGCAAATTTCGCAATGATTACGGAGCGGATGTGTCTTCTCTGGGTCAGGTTCAGACATCTTAAAGCAAGGTAGAAATCCGTAACTTTGGATTTGTGGAACTTTCTGAAAGGCTAAATGACTTCAAATTCACTTACAGTTACATACATCTACAGAATATCTACCTAGCTAGATAGGTTTACCTTTAGGTACTTGGATGCTATCAAGTTATCAACGTCATTTTATTACTTCAGGCTATTGATCTTGGGTGCTCAATAGTATCAGGCAACAAAAAGCAATGTTGTTTATTCGTCCAAGCTTTGTACCTAGTACCTGAGTTGACTGAGTATCTTGTTTCTCTTGTCAGCGCCTGCTAAGACAGGGTCACGCTTGATTCAATGTCAACTATTACGAATACCAAGGGATACTTAGTAAGGTACTCCGTACGTACTGCTTTTCGGGCGTGCCAACCCCACCCAAGTGACAAGCTCCAGGTTGCCACTACTATGGATGGACATTTGCCACCACCTACTGGCGGTAATCCGGACTGTATGATAAGCGGGTCAAACGTACCACGCAGCGTCTATCGAGCTTGAATATCTTGTTTTGAAATATGTATTCCATTTATGGGTCTATATAAACTGCTGAGGTTTAGCACCAATACTGATGACTAGACCTCGCTTTTCTCATTGAACTGCTTTGCCTTCTTCTTGCTGATCTTCACCGCGATGACAACCATAGCGATGAAGATGGAAAGGAATGCAACGTTGCGAAGAGAATAAGCGGAAGATTCGGGAAGAGTTGATATTTCTGACGGTTCTCCATCGTAGAGCCCATCAGCTGGATCTTGTTCTGAGCGTCATCCAACCATCAGCATATTTGATTGCATATCAAAGCAGCAAGGACTGACCAGGAACAGGTCTACAGCTCCTCGTGGCTACCTTTGGTGGATTCGTCCTTGATCTCTCCACTCTTGACAATCTTGACGGTCTCCGCAGGCTTGTCGCCAGGACCCTTGGGAACATTTTCGATCTGTTCCACAATCTCGTAGCCCTCAAGAACCTCACCAAAAACAACATGGCGACCATCGAGCCATCTATCAGTACATGAGGTATTAGTAGGCTGCTCGAATAGATCGGCAAGGAAATCACGGAAGGCAAACTCACGGAGTAGGAACGGTGGTAATGAAGAACTGAGAGCCGTTGGTATCTTTGCCAGCGTTTGCCATGCCTGATATAGTTAGAGAACGGCGACGTTCAAGTCAATGGATCAAGGAGGGTCGTACTCAGAAGGCCCTTGCGGGTGTGCCTAAGCTTGAAGTTCTCATCCGCGAATTTCTCGCCGTAGATCGACTTTCCACCAGTACCTACAAGTCAAATAGTGTCAGCACATGCGCTGTTACCAATTGATATGCAGAACATACCGTCACCACGGGTGAAGTCACCGCCCTGGATCATGAAGCTCTTGATGACACGGTGGAACGTAGAGCCCTCGTAACCGAAGCCCTTCTCACCGGTAGCGAGAGCGCTGTGTTATGTTTAGTAGGGGTCGATAAACATATTCAATTGATTGAACAACCGTACCGGAAGTTCTCAGCTGTCTGAATCCAGGCCGTCCCATTAGTGTCCAGTCCAGATCTTAAAAGCAGTGCTGCAGAATAGGGCGATGCCTACCTTAGGGACAGTCTTGCCGTACAATCCAAGCACGATTCTTCCTAGAGGCTTGTCTCCATGCTCAATGTCAAAGAAAACCTATGCAACCAATCGTTAGATGCGTATATCGATAAGCAGAAGACTTGCTTACCTTGCTTGTGATCTTTGGGCCCCGTGGCTCCTTAGTCTCCTCGGCGTGGACCAGAGCGAGTCCAACCGCGAAGACCAGGAAAAAGGACAAAAGAAGACTTTTAAAATTCATGGTTGCTCACAATTGCCGGGAAGAGTAGATTTCAGGCAATGACTGAGAGAAAGCTGTGAGACAGATCGAGATTGGAGGAGGTCGAGGCCAGGTTGCAGTTATCCATACCGTGCGGAGATGCCAAGACACTATGAATGGACAAGCTGCGTAATTTTCAACTGACTTGCTGTAAATCTGCTTCAATGTGGAGCAGAATATGCGAACTGTACAGCAAGACCAAGCGTTTGATACAAAAGCCCAGTAATTTTCATACATTTACAGACTCAGCTCGGAGAAATGTTTTTGCAGCCTAATTTCTTCCGCTTCCTGGTGATCAACTGCGATCAATGATAGCAGTCCAGCGCAATTGGAAGAGGAATCGGTCCTAGGAACTGCGATTCCAGCTAGTTATCCAAGATGGTATTGCCCAAGTTCATCTCACCGCAATTATGCATGCTCACTGTAATCTAGGTCTTCATTCTGGGTGTGAATTTCCCCGAGCGGAATCTCGTCAAGGCAAGCGCATCTCTATCCCAAGACTCAGACCATCCGACCAATCCTCTGTTTGTTCATACATTCTCAACGCGATTCTGACGATTAACATAGAAATCCCTCGAGACCTTCTTCGGTGTTGGTCCCCTGGTTTCTGCGCGCCTCCTCGCCCGCTTCCACATCCACCCCACATGCAAGGTTGGCGAGCTTGCGAACAAGCAGGTTCTGGACCTCACAGCTGCTTTATCCGACATGAAGATCGAGAATGATCTCCGGAGACAGATTCTTGATGATATCAAGCGGTTGAAGGAGTCGGGTTCATACCGTGGTAGACGCCATGCATTGGGATTACCGGTTCGGGGACAGAGAACGAGGACACAGGTGGGTTATCCTTTTACATTTGCGGATTTGTCCAGACTCGCATCGTGTTATGATTTGGAAACAGGAAAGGCAGTGCATACTGACGAGATCCACAGATTTCGACCGCTGTCAAGCTCAATCGTATGGAAAGAAGACTGTGACTTTGAATATGATAGGTGCTATACTTCAAGGCATGGTAATGGCGTTATGCTCCTTGGCTCTTATGTACTTTTGAAATTTCTATATCCATGTATCATATTATAGGCAGGAAATGCGAAGCTAAAAGCAGATTAGATCTCCTCTTCGCTATGTGCTCTTTGATCTCTCCAAAGCGAATCTCATGGTGTCTATATCAGTCATGACAAAATCATGCTTGTATATTGGAACGAGACAAGAATAACTCCAACTTTTCGTACTCCACTAAGAAACCAAAAGAATATGTGCGATACATATTATGCCGACAATACGCCTTCGCCCCGGTTGATCTGAATTCTCTTATCCTCTCCCGCACTAACAATGCCGACTGTCTTGTCCCAGCAAACACTGAAGACCTTGACACCTTCGCCTCCGACGCGCTTAGTATCTGACTTTCCTTGCTCCTCCAGACTCTTCCGTGAGATGGAGTAGACGCTCTCGCCAACGACACCGTCTTTATCGGTCTTCGTGGCACGGATATCCCAGATGCGACATGTGCCGTCGTGGCTTCCACTGATCAGACCATATGTGCTGTGAGGGTCGCGAGCCAACGAGACGACGGCGTTCGTGTGGCCCCGCAATGTCATGGCGGAGATTGTCGTCGCTGATGCGCGGGGGTCAATGAGAGTAATGTGGCGCGCGGATGTTCCCGCAGCGAGCAGGCTGAGCTCCGGAAGATGCTCAAGGGAAAGCAGCGAGTGAGACGTCGTCCGGGTGTCCACCAGAGTAGAGGTGACAAGGTCCCATGTGCGCAGTGAATGGTCCCAAGAAGCCGAGTAACCAACCGTCGAGTCCTTCTCATCGAAGATAGCAGCAGATACGGGTGCGGTGTGCGAGGACAAGAGTGCCAATGGCCCTCGCTGGGGAACAGTCACGGAAGAGTTCAGCTTTCTCCTCTTAGAGCTCCTTGATGCAGCCGATGGCAGCAGGTCCTCTGGCGCGGCGGGGGCGTCCGATTTCTTGGTCGACCAGAAGCCGACACTATTATCTGAGGAGGCGGATAGTATACGGTTTGAGGGCGCGTGCACGGCCAGAGAATTAATGCCAGACTTGTGTCCGTACAGCTCGAGCTGGGGAGCTATTGTGCCTGAGAATCCTTCATCACTCTCAGAATATTTCCATAGACGCACTGTACGATCAAGGCCCGCCGATGCGATCTGGTTCGGTGTGACGAATTTGGCCGCTTTGATGGATGCCGTATGCCCCCCATCGGCGGCCGCTGGGGAAGTCGCAACAATCTGAGATGACATGTTCCATACCCGAAGCAAGCCGTCGTAGCTGCCGGAAAGGATCTTCTCTTGCCCTTGAGAGATTGTTGCAGATGCCCAGGTGGCAGCGGGAGAGGTTGCAGAGAGCACATCAGTGGAGCTAACCCAGTCATCGTGCTGGAAGGATGCGATGTGCAGCGGGGGAATCAATGCTCTGACATATTCAATCTCCAAAGTCGTCTCCGCAGAGATACCGTTGGCTGTTAGATATTCATCGATCGAAGTCCGCAGAAATGTACCGTTGATCAGAAACTCGAATGGTATCGGTTTGTCGTTACCAAGGAGGTTGTTCACCAGTGTCGAAAGCGCATATCGCCGCAGACCTTTAGTAGCAGACGTGTCAGATTTGCGACAATTTAGTCGAAGGATATTAGAAGGGAATGACCTACTTGTAGGAACCAAAATGGGTCCAGCGTTATCTGGCAGCGCAATATCTTCCTGTTTGCTGGTGAGCTGCACGCGGACCTGTCGCTGGGCAGCAGACGAGGTCGCAGTAGCATCAAAATCCGAGCCGTCGTTCATATTGAAATTCTGGACGGTAACTATTTCAGAAGAGGCGTGTTGGAAATTCTCGTCGATATCAGAATCTTGCTCCGTCGACCGTAGAGTGAGGAAAAAAATACGGCGGCCGATGCGGCCACTTGCGCAGTGCGCGGAGTTTCGCCGCTACCCAGTCTGCCAGTTTGGAGAAAAAAGAGAATTTCTACGGACAAAACAGTCAATCATATCTGCGTTGGTCAAGATTCTCTTGTGCTATTTATTACAGTATGTATTATATACAACTTGTCTATTTGGGGTCTTATCCCCGAGACTGTCGTCGAATATCTGCAATCGCCTTCCGTCGGTAATCAGACTCCGCAAAGAGAGCCTCGATCAGATCAACCACCTCGTCTGCTGAAAATTCGAGCCGAAGCTCTCCTTCTGTCCACAGGAATTTGATGTCGGCAAGAGAGCTTTCCAGTATATTTATCAGGTATTGAAACTTCAACCAGTTGCGCACGTACACCGCGGTCATTGGCACACGCTCAATACCTTCAGTTGGCCCAGGCATAAACAAGTCCTCCAATTGAGAGACCTGATTACAGAAAGACACTAGGCGCTGGGACTGAGCTTCCGAGATATCACCCAAATCCTCGATATCAATGATAATCTTGTTGATGACGGAGGCTACCAATGATCCAATCGATTGAAGAAGCGCAGAGTGTGACAGGATTGGTTGCCATTCCTTGTAGACATCGCGGATTCTGTCAACAGTGGCGCTTATTGCATTTTCGCACTCCCCAAGGAACGGCTGTTCTGAACACTGACTGAATCCCTGGGCACCATCGAGCAAGTCGGTGACTATAGTGCGTTGAGTCTGCATCTCCTTGCTATAAGCGAGCTTGCCGAACTTTTCAAGTGCATCCAGATCCGAACTGAGACGCGACAGCTTATGTTCCTCAACCATAGTCCGGAGCTGCTCGACGAGGTACAGACTGTCGTTATACAAGTACATTTGTCCAGCATTGAGTTTGAGACTGTAGAATGAAGGTGCCGTGGCCTTGAACATAGCCAGGATTAACGTCGGAAGTGCAAGAAGACCAGCCCCAGAAGAGACAATACGCGTATGATCGTGTCTAAGTTGTTGTAAGCGCATGTACAGATCATAAATCATTGTCAGCTTACCCAGGCTGTGAGATGGCCTCCACATCCGTGACCTGCTGTCGGACAATCGCCATAATGGAGTCTGGAATATCCGTGACAGTGTAGTGCTCTCTCAGGGTAACTTCCCGGGGTGCACGATGTCCGATATCTCTTCCAATTACGGGAGTCGCCTTATGAGTCTCCTGGGCTGGTTGGTTTTCAACACGTTCATCTCCGTCTTCGTCGTCACCCCAGCCCCATGCATCTGCATCGTCGTAATCGGCGGATTCTGAGATATCGGCTTTGGTCTCCACTATCTCCTCCGTAGCGTCGTCGTCAAGACCCCAAGCGGCGACATCATCCTCGCCTTCTTGGGTTCCTGAGGGGATTCCCTTGGACTCGTCCCCATTGTCGTCGTCCCAACTAGCATCCCAATCGTCGGAAGTGGCATTTTCCAACAGTACTTCATCCGCTCGAGATACCTCTTCCTTTTCAACCCTTTCTACTTGCTTTGTCAATCCCTGACTCCCCGCAAGAACTTTACGGACTTGATCGAGGGAGTCAGCTCGCCGCCTGGTAAGCCAGAGGCGGGGTGCTTGATTCACCCAAGACACAAGTTCTTCCTGCCCGTGCCATCCAAGTGTCTCGATTGTCTGAGCAAATTTCAACACACTATCCAGGATCGCTTCAAAGTCAGCGAGGCCTGCAAGATCTGTAGGGATTGCAGATGAAAGCCAAGATGTTATGATTTTGGAGGACAGAGCCGGTACGAAAGTGTCGGAGAAGGAATCTGAAATGGACGAAGGCAGACATTGCCGGAGAAAACCTAAGACATTGGAGACACGATCGAGCAGCTGCAGAGCAGTGGTTGTGGCTGGCTCTGGCTGCACATGAATCGAGCCTTCTGCAACACGGATCGGACGACTATAGCCGTCCAGATTAGGAAGCAATATCGGTTCCACTATCGCTAACAGAAGATCCTTCTGCAGTTTGTCGTTTGCTGGGACAAGTAGGTCCAATCGAGCCATGGCAGCTATTGTATCATCCAGCAAGGTACCTATCCGCCGTCAGATTGAATGATACACAAATTTCTCTAGATGCGAGTTACCGTCATTCTTGGCGACCTCGAAGCTGCCGGCCTGTTTGTCAACCTTCAGTAGGTTGTTCCAGCGAGCCCGGAGATCCTCCGCAATCTGTTTTCTCAGTTCGGCAACATTCTGCACCAAGATGTGTTTTACGTTAGTGTTGGCGAAAAGACTATCCTGTTGTACAGTGTCTTCCACCGCGTCCACCGCGTCGATGGCGGCCATGATGCGGCCATCCGCAAGGTCTCTCCGTCCTGCATTGAGTCGCTGGCAAAGCTCTTGTACCTCCTCGAGGGTCCTAGTCACGGCCTGGTTGAAAGCAATCTCTGTCTGAATCAATCGAACCTTCGCAGAGGCGTCTTCGACCTTCAGCTGCAGGGGCCTAGTGTTCTCGTGCTGCGCAACAATCTCACGCGCCGTAAGCCTGGATCGCTCAATATCTGCATGAAGCTGTTTTGCTTGCGAAATCCAACCGTCGGCATCAAAATCATTTTCTCGACTCAATGAGTTTATTTCAGCCTTGTGGAAAGTAAAGACATTAGCATTTGGGGACCGAACATTGCGGATATTCACTACGTACTTCGACCTGCTCCCGTGCATCCGATATAAGCTCCAGTTCTTTAGCCAGAGCTGACGTAGGAAATACTGATGATACAACATCTTCTGATCCTGGAAAGGTGCCTTCTGTGACGAAATCCAGTACCGACTGGTAAATCTTCTGCTCCGACGCCTGCGGAGACATCTTTCAGACGGTCTCTAGAGTGTCTAAGCTTGTCCTGAAATATAGCCCAGAGGTAACCTCCGGCTCTAACTGGGCGACACAGTGCCCGCAGCACTTGTTGATATATCTTTTGTAGGGAAAGCTATGAGCTTCAGTGCTGGTAGTAGCTGGCAGAAGCGACCTTGCTGTCCATAATAACAACAATCCCCGCCATGTGACTTCACCGTCAGATTCACCGCCTTAGCTGGATAAGCTGAAGAAGCCTCACCGCAAGCTGTCCTCTACCTACATAAATTAAGCCTTGAAAATTTGATTTATTTGCTGATTTGCACTGAGGAGCATCTATTAGTGCTGTAGAATTGCTGGACCTCCAGTCACTCGCGCCTGGTTGACGTCGTTAGTTGAGACTCTTGTGTGCCATTGGCATGGTTGATCTTAGGGAACGGGACCCAAACTCCACTCTCAGAGGATCCTCAAGTTCGACGACAGCTGCAACTGTCTAGGATCCTGGCTCGTTTTTCACCTAAAACAGCAGTATTGGCGCCGCTTACGCAGTCGTGTTGTCTCGGCTTTTCCAGCGAGGCCTGAGTCGGGCGTATCCTACTCGATCTATGTGAGTACAATACACTTGTTGTCTCTACCGAACACAAACGGAGAATCAAAAGATTCTGTGTCCCGCGTTATATCGACGTCAATGCCGCTTCGAAGCCTGTGCTATGCCATAGCGTCATAAAGTCCACGTCCAACCTGTTCTCGGCAGCATTATACAAGCCAGTCGCTGTTTTTCGTTGATATTTGCGTTTCTGTTACCTGGATGCCAGTCATGGAATGGGTGGTGCTCCCGTTTCTTTCATTGAACCAGTCATTCCTCTACTGTTTTCCGATGACAGACGTTGCTCATACTTTAAAATGTCCTTCAATTACTGACTTTGTACTAGATTGTCTCAACGAGATTTGTTCAGCAGTATTTGGAGGATCGGAAACTGGAGAGAGTTTCTGTTCATGTCATACGGCAATATGTCACCCTCTAACCAGAAGACTCACTTTAAATTACTCCAGAGGTTCAAGCCTGACTACTCGCCGAGCGAGTTCATTCAATATGAATCTGAGAGAACCGGGATGAGAGTCGTGGTCATTGATCAGAAAGGGCCCAAGGTGACCGGGTATTTTGTCCTCGCCACAGAGATCCTGGATGATTCAGGAGCCCCTCACACTCTGGAACACCTGTGTTTCATGGGATCGCGCAATTATAGATATAAGGGATTCTTAGACAAACTCGCTACGCGCGTGTATTCCAACACAAATGCCTGGACGGCCACGGATCACACAGCCTACACGCTGGATACAGCGGGCTGGGAGGGGTTCTCTCAGATCTTGCCTGTCTACCTGGAGCATGTGATTGCACCTACTCTGACAAATGAAGGCTGCTACACAGAAGTGCACCACATAGACGGTTCCGGTAACGATGCCGGAGTTGTATACTCGGAGATGCAAGGAGTGCAAAACAACGCGGCCGAGCTGATCGACTTGACGGCCCGACGCCTCATGTACCCGCCTGGCGTAGGCTTCCGTTATGAGACTGGAGGCATGATGGAGCAGCTTCGTGTTCTCACTGCGGACAGAATTCGCGCGTTTCATCGTGAGATGTACCAACCTCGTAACCTGTGTCTGATTATCACGGGTGAGGTGGACCATGATAACATGCTGGAAACGCTTGACAAATTCGAAGACACAATCCTGGATGTTATTCCAAGTCCTGATTCGCCATTCAAACGACCATGGGTAGATTCCAAGCAAGCTCCTCCGTTGGAGAAGTCGATTGTGAAGACTGTTGAATTCCCCGAGGAGGACGAATCTTTCGGTGAAATAGAAATCAGGTTTTTGGGTCCCGATTGCACTGATCCTGTACAAAGTGAGTCCCCAAGTCTTCATCCCTTTTGTGATTCATCGCTTATGTGTACAAGCCGGTGCTCTTAACGTCGCACTTTTGTACCTCGCCGGGTCGTCGGCTTCTCTTCTAGAGAACATACTTGTGGAAAAGGAACAGCTCGCCAGTGCTGTGTACTATGCTACGGAAGATCATCCAAGTGTCGAAATCCGCTTCACCCTGACCAGTGTTGAAACCGCCAAACTCGCTCAGGTGGAGAAACGATTCTTCGAAGTCCTTGATGACGCCATGAAGAAGAATCTGGATATGAAGTATCTGAAAGAGTGCATCGACCGACAAAAGCGGACTTGGAAGTTCTCCACTGAGAACTCTGCTTCTTCTTTGGCGGAGTATGTCATCTCCGACTTTCTCTTCGGAAAGAAAGACGGCTCAACGCTGCTGGACGTTGCAACCTTGCAAGAGTACGACGTTTTGGAGAAGTGGAGTGAAGATGAATGGCGTAATTTCATCAAGAAGTGGCTTTCGGATGCGCCACATATTACCATACTTGGCGTGCCATCAATGAAGATGTCCGAAACCTTGAAGAAAGAGGAAGAGGCTAGAGTCGCAGCTCAGAAGAAGCGACTCGGACCCGACGGCCTGAAGGAATTGGCCGACAAACTGGAGAAGGCAAAGGCCGAAAATGATAGAGAGATTCCTAAAGAGATGCTGGAAAAGTTCAAGATTCCTGGTACTGAATCTATCCATTTCGTGGAGACAACGACGGCCCGATCCGGTGCTGCCTTGACAGCCGGACGCGCGGATAACAAGGTTCAGAAATTGGTGGATGCCGATGGCTCGGAGCTGCCACTATTCATCCATTTTGAACATATACCCAGTAGTTTCGTCCAGCTTTCACTTCTTATCTCGGCTCAGTCGGTGCCAGTCCACCTTCGTCCCCTTCTGTCCGTGTATACAGAGGCGTTTTTCAACCTACCCGTCCAAAGGGATGGGAAGACGATCAGTTTCGAACAAGTTGTGGTTGAATTGGAAAGGGATACTGTTGGCTATTCGATGGAGGGTGCAAGAAGCCTGGGCAATTCGGAGATGTTGCGCATCTCTTTCCAGGTCGAAATTGAGAAGTATAGCAATGCAATTGCCTGGCTCGAGGAGCTCTCCTGGAACTCAGTCTTTGATGTGGAGAGACTGCGCGCGATCACCAGTCGGCTCCTTGCTGACGTGCCCGACGCCAAGCGTAGTGGTGATGACATGCTGGCAGCTGTGCATGTCATGGTTCACTACGCGCCTGAATCCATCGTGCGGGCGCGGAGCACATTGGTCAAGGCGCGATATCTTAAGCGGATCAAGCGACAATTGGCCGAGCAACCCGAGACCGTTGTTGCTCGCATGGAAGAGATCAGACAAGCTCTTTTCAAGTTTGAGAACATGCGAGTTCTGGTCATCGCAGACATTGACAAGTTGCCCAATCCAGTTTCATCCTGGAAGCCGTATGCTGAGCGACTCGGTGATGTGACCTCTCTAAAGCCCGTCACCGTCCGCAGGGTCTTGCTGAGCGAGGCAGGTCGCACCCCTGGTGGAAAGTCGTACGTGGTTCCGATGCCGACGATTGACTCGTCCTTTGCCTACGCAACTGCTCGGGGTCTCGACTCGTATGATCACCCCAAGCTCCCCGCTCTGCTGGTTGCCATTGCATATATGAATGCCGTCGAGGGTCCTCTCTGGGTCGCCGTCCGTGGCAAGGGCTTGGCTTACGGTACGAACTTCGCCTATAATATCGACACCGGCTTTGTGAACTTTGATGTATATCGGTCACCGAATGCACACAAGGCATTCGAGTCCAGTAAACAGATTGTCGAGGACCACCTCTCGGGTGCAATCCCCTTTGACCCCTTAATGCTAGAGGGGGCTATCAGCAGCATTGTAGTCAGCTTTGCCAACGAGCAATCGACTATCGCCAGTGCGGCGCAAGGCAGCTTCATTCGTCAGGTCATTCGCAATCTGCCCAGCGACTACAAGGAAAAGACACTCAAACAGGTACGAGTTACTAGTGTGGACGACGTCAAGGCAGCCTTGCGCGAAATCATCCTGCCGTTGTTCGCTCCGGACAAGGCGAACCTTGTTGTCACCTGTGCACCTGTACTCGAAGAGGTAAGAGTTCTCTTGCATGCGTAGAATAAGGCCCTGAGCTACAGATACTTACTCTCAATATAGACAATCAAACAAGGTCTCGAAGCGGCTGGTTTCACTCCTGCAGTGCAGCCACTGAAGGACTTCGAAGATGACTATGGATTGAAAAATGATGGCGACGAAGACGAAGAATCCGACGAAGAAGATGACGACGACGACGATGATGATGATGCGTCTGAATCTGAGGAAGATGAAGAAGAATCTGATGATAACGAGTGATGCAACTTATGATGACGTTAGGGAGGCATCGTACAAGCGGATGTATACCTCACGACCTAGACAAGAGTTCTACGTTCACTATGATAGACCCGGTAGGTACTTCTCGATTATACGAGAAAGGCGTAAAGAAAGAAAACCTGCTATCATTCCTAAGCGACTTCGAATAGGACATATGGACTTTTCAAGCCGTTTATACAGCAATCTAGATAGACTATGCATATTGAACGGAGAGGTCCTGATTCGCGTGCAATTCAACATATATTAACGTCTGGCCAATGGCACAGTATCTGCTGTCTTAGTCGTCTCACTAGGCGCAAACTTGATTGAGCTGCTCCATACTGCCAGTTGTGATTGGAGCTGATGGTGCAGTAAGCGCCGGGGCTGTAGGATAGCTGCGCCGCACAGTATAACCAGTTTAGTGTCGATCATGAGATAACCAACGGCCCCAACCTCAAGTAGTGACACAGCCAGCATGATTCTTTCCCCATAAGCAATTCTTGCCCTGCGAGCAGCCGTTGACGGGTTATTCAAGGGAATTCCCGAGGCAACCCTGAAGATATACTCGACCAATTCCATGGCATAGTTCTCTGAGGTTGAGTACTTGTGTTGTATAGCAATCACTCCGAGTCATCAGTCAGTCTGCGCTAAAGATTGATGCAATGTCACAGTTCGCAGCGATGACAGCGAGATGGTTACTTCGCCGCCAAATCAATGCCAGCTTCTTTTTCCTGGCATTGCTGTCGACGGTCCCCTCCATCTCAGCTACGAATTGCTATACGCCTGACGGAACAATATCGAACGATCGCCCTTGCAACGCGTCAGCCTCAGCCAGCGTCTGCTGCACGCAGGGCTTCCTCTGCACTTCCAACCAGCTCTGCCAGCCCGCAGGGTGGTGGGATGGCTCCGACGGCAATCCCCTGCAGTTCATCAGAGGGACCTGCACAGACAAGACGTGGGCTGCGCCTGAATGCCAGGGACACTGTGTTGCAGGTGAGCCTCGAGCCAAAACCCACTAATTGCTGTGTTCGCTCAGTTGAACTCTGCCTGCAGATAACCCCTCTGGTGGAGAATGGGTGATGCGATGCGGAAACACCACCAACAACTACTGCTGCTCTGCAGACGACTGCTGTACCAAGGCTTCGTACTTGAAATTCACCCTGGATGAACCCACCATCATTGCGACGGCGGGGATAGAACCTACCTCGACGGCGACAACCATGACACAGTCCTCCAGGGAGACATCCACGGCAACAACAAGCACAGGGACGTCGACGACGCCAACCCCCACCACGAGCGCAGCCTCAAGCTCGAACAATTCGCACAGTTCAACGTCAGACTCGACAAGTATAGCGATCGGCGTCGGCGTCGGCGTCGGGGTAGGCGTTGTCATCATAGGATGTCTGATCGCGCTGTTTGTGGTGCGCTCGCACCGGAAGAAGCGACTTGCAGCCGAGCAGAACAATTCCGCCTTCTTGCCGGGGTCTCACGAAGGCCCCTTCGGTGTCTATCCTCCGGTGACTCGAGTCCAGCATCCCTCAGAACTAGACTCGCAGCAGCAGCGACACCCGAATGTGGCGGAGCTAGACGGCGTCCACACGGGGAAACACGAGGTGCGGTGAGACTGGGATATATGAGTGTGTTTACATCTGCATGATTAATCTTCGCGATTTAGCATTTATACCCGGAGTACTTTTCGTGCATATATCAGAAGAATCTGCGCTGTGATGAAAATAAGGGTTTGCGCTATGCTGGTGCCTCATGATCGTTTGGTGTTGCTTCCATTTTCTGTATATAAAAGAAGTTAAGGTTGAATGGCTTCTTAGGACCAGATCCTTGCCCAGAAATGACACACCATATGTATAATAGACGCAAACCGAAGTATAATGTAAGGAGCTGATATCTGTATGTATATGGTACACGTGAAAAAAGCATCTTGTCCCGGCAAACACAAGATGCACACCAGCTATTCAATCGATCTAAACCACCGCAGCGATCGGAATAGCTATCCCGTTCTCTCAACCACGATGAACACAGGAGTAATCCTAATAAGTCCGGAAAGGATCGAGACTGCATCGTCTCCATATCCACCGAGACTCGTCGTCCAGCCAGACATAGCCCACGCCGATTCCCGAACAAGTCACTTGAAAATTACGACCACCGCAAAAGACAAACCCACTACCAACTCAGCGACTTCCGTCCCTTCGCTCTCCGGTGCTGAAGAACCTTCCTCCCTCCCCTCGACCGCAACCGCGCAAGGAACCCATGACGACGTTTCTGCACTCTTCGCGAGGGATTGTAGGTAGCACGTTTACCGGCCAGCGAGGCACTGGCAGAGAATGACCGGGTCTGCTGCGTCAGACCGAATGACAACGGAGAGACGGATGTGAGAGATGTGCGGAATGAGGGGAGACTCTGTATCAACGGGGTCGGTTGTGAACGGAGGGCGGATGAAAAGGTGCGGAGTGGTGTTGATAGGGAGTTGGTGAGGGTCTGAGTCGGGAGTCTGTTGCTTTAATTGTTAACTTAAAGTCCTAGTCTGGTATGATAGCCAGCACATTGTCTCGAAAGTCAAAAGGTTCGTTCCATAGTATTGTCAGGACGTACCTGAACGGCTGGGAGCGCATTGCAGTTCGCAGCGCGGAGGGCACGGCCCTACATTGGAAGCAGAGCATGTCGAAGTTTCACGAGAACTGAACAATTAAGCAGTTCTTGATCGTTTTCCCAGAGAAAGGTATTGAATGGACCGCTGAATATTGCGGGGATGGTGATGGTTGCCGAGTCTGAGTCTATCGGACACTGACTGACAGTTCAGGCGCGGACGAAAATTGAACCTCCGGCGCGGCGGACGCACGGACCAGCCGATTTCTTTTCAATTTGATGCTTCAAGATTTCATGGTTAGATCTTCCTTCCTTTGCTTTCGCCCACCTAATTTTTTTTGGGTCCATTCTATACAAAGGATCATCCATCCAAGGCCGCTTGGGATATACGCTCATCAATTGCGCCAAGCCACCAAACTTCTCCCTCAACCATCCACTTGCGATACTACACTTCCAATCCGATTTACATTCCACGAAATTAACTGAGTAGACAACAAGCTTCAGAAGATCCGAAATGGCAACTCAAGGCCCCTCCCCTCTTCCTCCAACAACCATCCTGTCCTCAAAACCCATCTCCCAGTCCGCCGCCCACGACTTCCTCGCCGCCTATCTCGACCGCGCCGCCACAGATCCAGCCCTGCAACCCAACGCTAGCATCAGCGAGCACGGCCCCATCTCCCGTACCACAGCCGCAGCGCCGAACCTCATCCTGCATAATCTGAAGCGCGTCCAGGCCGGGTTGGCTGGCGAGGTTCTGGGCCGTGATTTGACTCTGGCGAAGATCAATGCCGGTGAGGCGCTGCAGGGTGAGACTGGGGATAATGTCGTGTGGGAGGAGACCAAGCATGAGCAGGTGGCAGCTGATGATGCGATGGATGACGACGAGGAGGAGATGCGAGGGGAAGATGACGAGGAGAACGAGCAGCAGCCTGGGAGGGTAGAGGGTGAGGCTGACGAGCATACCGTGGACAAGGAGGAGCGGAAGAGGAAGAAGAAGGAGCGCCGGTTGGCTGAGAAGAGAGCTAAAGCCAAGGGCGCGGACGCATAGATCGAAAAAGGCTGGAAGCTTCATTTGGGTTACTTGCATCGTTCTGCTGATGGATTTTTTTCGTCCAATTGGTTGGTTCTCAATAAACAGAACCCGTGTCTTGCTATTGGCGTTTGTTTTTGGATGATATTACATCACACACAGGGTATGGAGTTTGCTGTTATACTAGAATCAAATCGACCTTTGCTCTACAGCCAATGGACACCTTTTACCCCAGCCGCCACCTAACACCGTGAACGGAACGAAACGGGAGAGAAAGGACTTATATCGAGCGAGAACCGGGTTGAGTTCAGAGCTCCCGGTCAGCAGCCTTGACCGGCTTTTCACTATCTTCCGTCTTCGCGTCGGTGACTTTTCCTCCCTGCCAGCCAAGCGCCTTGAGTCGCTCAGATAGGATCGGGTGAGAGTAGTGGTAACTGGCATACATCCAGTCAGCGTCCATGGTGCTCAAGTTCTGGATCTGAAGCTTGAGAAGGGACGCGGCAAGCTGTTCGGAATACCCGAGCTTCACGGCGAAGGCATCTGTGGCACAGTCAGCTTCTGTTTCTAGAGATGTCCAAGAGGACAGAAATCATACCAGCTTCAAATTCGAATTTGCGGCTGAGAATGTTCATCAAGAGCTTGACGACAGCATCCATGGGAGCCAGAGCATCCGAGAACAGGAGGAATCCAATCATGATGGGCATTTCCTGGTGGAAGCCAAATGATTGATACAGGGACTTGTTGTTCACAAATACCGAGAACAGGGCGAAGATGTACAACATGTGAGACTATAACATAGATCATTAGCCTTCATCTGTGCACTTATGTGTCTCCATAAGGGCGCGATATCAAGGAGCTGTTCAGTATACACATACCTGAGCAATAGCAAATAGCTTAGTAGTGTGGCCGAGGCTCCAGTGACCAAGTTCGTGACTCAAGACGGCGACGACTTCCTCAGTCTCGCTCTTCTCAATCAGAGTATCATAGATGACAATGTGCTTTTTCCACGGCAGTCCGTAGAAGTACGCGTTGCTGTGAGCGCTCCGCTTGCTGCCGTCAATGACATACAGCTCATGGAGAGGGAACTTGAGCTTGCGGGCAAGGCTCTCAACGCCTGTCTTCAATTCGCCGGGTTCCAGAGGCGAGAGCTTGTTGAACAGTGGCAGGATGACAATGGGGTAGATGGTGATAGCGAAGATCTGAACGAAGACACCAAAGAGCCAGAGGTAGTAGAAGAACGAGTTGCCAGTCTTCTGGACGATCTTAAGCACGGCGCTGATGATCGGGGTTCCCAAAACAATTCCCAGCATCTGACCCTTGAGCATGTCTGTGACCCAGAGCTTGAGCGTCTGCTTGTTGAAGCCAAACTTCT